AAATGGACGCCATACACTGATGGATTAAATAGTTTCAGCATCGTAGCTTCGTAGTAGTTAAATAATCAAAAGAACGCGCGACAGTTCCTAATTATTAAATCTGGAATATTGGCCGCAAAATATTTTTTGAATTAATTCTCTACTTGGAGAGATAATTTTCGTATCTTCGAAATAAACGTGTGAAATCCACGTCTGTTATTTTACGTTTTAGGCTTTCGATTCGCTTGTCATTATCAAAAATCAAAGTTTTATTTAGTGATTCTTAACATCGTTGCAATATACTTCAAATTTTGGTTGCAAGATATGAAGCGTTTTTTGTTTTGTTTATTTTTTGTTTTGTTTTAGTTTTTTGTTTTTTGTTGTTGTTTTTTGTTTTCTAATATGAAGAATATCACGTAATGTGATTTTTGAAGTTGAAATGTCTGTGATGTCACATGAATGGTGTGTCATATCGATTGAAAGTATTCAAATAGATTTTCGAATCCATCTTCTTAAATTATAAGTGACTTTCATGATTATTGGTTGATCCAACTTAATATGCGAAGCATTTAAAATTTTTAACCTTGTTTACAGTTTCTTTTACTGAGTATTATTGTATTATGCACAACTTGCTCTCTTGTATTTCTATCATGTAATGCCTTATTGAACTTTACTCAGATGACAAGTGAATCTACGAGAAAGGGTTGTGGTTGGGTATCCCACATAGACTTAAATAATGGATTTGTGCAATAAGTATATCTTTGAATGCATGTGAGTGTGTATAATTTTAATATAGAGTAATACGAGGTTGCCTCGTGGCTAAGATAGCTGCGCCAGTGAGCGACGTTTGAGCTTCGGTCAAAGACCAGGTTTTTTAATACTGATGGTTATTGAAAAAAGTCACTCGCCATTTGAAAGTATGGCAAAGGACAATATTCATGCTTCCGCACACTATACTAACAGTGATCTCTATTGTGGTTGAGAGAGTTGTGTATTTACCAGCAGTTTTGCTTGCAATCGGTGTTCAAGTACTGATAAAAAGAATTTTGAATGCTGATTTTCAGAGCGGAAATCGAACAGACACTTGTAAGATTGGCGCAGAACAATCCTTTATTCGTTGCTATGCTCTCACTAGTTAGGCATTTAATTAGAATATCTTATAAAAATATCAATAGCCACATCTATAAAACGTACTACATAATAGTACCCCGTTATCCGTAGTAGGTATTCCGAAACGTTTTACTGTGAACTTGTTGTGGTAGGATCCACCTAATTTGCATAGTGGAGTACCGACCATATAAATATGGTTGGTACCGGGAAGACGAGAGGAAGGAATCAAGAGATTCAATCCAGAGATTCTGCCCGACTGAGACTAAGTCAACCCATTCTCCAGGAACGGTCTTCCCAAGAATATACAAAAGACTATATGTAAATATTGTGTACACTTTCTTGTTTCAATACATTTTGTTCTAAGTACATTTTGTGTTGTATTATTATTCCATGCATTAGTCAAGTTTCAACAGAACTGTAAGCCGATTTGAGGAAAGAACGGACTGAAATTCGCCACTCGTTTCCACAACGATAGTTCAATATATTCAAACTGATTATTTCATTTTAATTTTTTTCAAGATTTCGTTATTATGTAAGAGAGCAGGACACCAACAAAATAATGCTGGTGTACAAATATATGAAACCCAGTGTACCCATCATGTCACCCAGGCTGATAAACGAATACTAAGTACATGCAACACAGACAAATACGTACAATATGGTGACATCTCTTGATAAAATCTAACGCATAACCGTGCAGGTGGAACTCAGTTAAAAATAACTAGAGTTCGCGTAACTCAGTCTGCTCAGACAGTCTCCGGCTTCTCAAATCGCCTTGGCTACCTCATTCTTAAGATTTTAAAAAACAAATAACCCCACTCTACACTCAGCCAAGAAGCTTTCCCACTACTCTCGCTCATGTACAGAGAATAAAGATGCGTCAGTTCCTAAGAGATATTCCCAATTTGTCAAGGAGCTGTAAACTGACAAAATCTGTGGTTATCAACGGGATATTCACTTTAGCCCGTTTTAATTCACAAAGATTTACATCTATAGAATAAATGGGAATATCAGTGTGTCACTGTGTCATACTTTTTAAAGTTTACCCCTAGAGACCGTAGCCCAACCTAGCATACCATTTTGGAATCAGGCTGATTCCATGAGCAAATTAAAAACATTCCTGATCGGATCCGGAATCGCTATCCTGAAATTTGGGATTCCGAAGTTTTCATTGCTGTGATTGTTTTCGGAATCGGACATCTTGGCTTCTAGTGATAAAAACAATTAAAGGGACATAACTCTCTAACTTTCAATAGAGTGAATCACCTGAAATTTTGGAATCCAAAGATTCTATTACTGCAATTGTTTTCGGTGACTTTTTTTACGTGATTTTTGGAGACAACTTATTTTTTCTTTTTCTTTTTTCTTTTTTTTTTGTTGTACGATAACAATTTTATAACTTATAAATGAATATTGGGGATAATCGAAATGAATTACGAAATCTAGCGAAAGTCACCCATGAAATAAAAATAATTGTTTGTACGCAATTTAAGAACATACGTACTTAAATGCAGGGATACCATTTTGAATTCTTCTTTAGTTTATTGTTGCCAGATCGCATACGGCAGCAGTGTGCTTCGCAAAAAGAAATCTCCGCCAACAGAAGACCAGATTGCAATCAAAAGAGTCACGTCTGTAACGAGGAAAAGAGAAGTCCCATGCAAATGAAAACCCAGATCAAACAGCAGCTTCAAATGATGAGAATATGCAAAAATTTAGGGACTTTCAAATTCCTGAACCAGTTGAAGGCCAAATCAAAAGTCATCCGCAGGATCTAGCTTAAATGGCGCCTGATAGGGAAGTTTTTAAACTAGTACTAACATATTCGAACAATTAAGACTAGAAGCCACGAAGCCTCTGCTTGCTGTAACATCACATCATATATTATAATTATTATTATTATTATTATCATATTTGTTATGGTCCAGAGTAGGACCAAGGAAGAACAACACGAACACAAGAGTAGAAATAACGAAAGTATATTACACGAAATAATAATACAAGATGTGGAAGGTGTTAGTATGACTGTCAGTCTGGTTTGGAGTGAACTACTATCGGCTCGACTCGATTCGGTATCTAGCCACCCACCCATGAGGGTTGCATGTGGCACAAGGCCTAGTCTAACGTGGGTTTCCCGACCCCGTACTCGGCCAAAAAATGCCCGTAAAACTGTAAAATCAGAATTGGCTTGACGGTTGACTCATGCCTCTGAGCAGAGGAACGGAAGGCTCCGCCGAAGGCAGAGTCTCGTTCAGGGGGTTTCCTGATCCGTTTATACGGGTTCTACGGGCATTTTTTGGGCCGAGCCTCGGCCTGGGAAAAAAAAATGCCTTGTAGAAACTGTAAAAATCAGAATTGGCCTCTTGACGGTCGAACTCTCTGCCTCTGAGCAGAGAGGAACCCGGACGAGGCTCCGCCGAAGGGCAGAGTCTCGTTCGGGAGGTTGACCAACCCGATCCCGTTTATACGGGTTCTACGGGCATTTTTGGGCCGAGCCTACGGGCTCGGGAAACCCCATTAAACTCAGCCTTGTGCCACATGCAACCCTCCTGGGGGCGGCTAGATACCGATTCAATCCGAGCCTCTCGGCTTGACGGTCGAACTCTCTGCCTCTGAGCAGAGAGGAACCTGGACGAGGCTCCGCCGAAGGGCAGAGTCTCGTTCGGGGAGGTTGACCAACCCGATCCCGTTTATACGGGTTCTACGGGCATTTTTTGGCCGAGCCTACGGGCTCGGGAAACCCACATTAAACTCAGCCTTGTGCCACATGCAACCCTCCTGGGGGCGGCTAGATACCGATTCAATCCGAGCCTCTCGGCTTGACGGTCGAACACTCTGCTTCTGGAGCAGAGAGGAACCTGGACGAGGCTCCGCCGAAGGGCAGAGTCTCGTTCAGGGAGGTTGACCAACCCGATCCCATTTATACGGGTTCTACGGGCATTTTTTGGCCGAGCCTACGGGCTCGGGAAACCCACATTAAACTCAGCCTTGTGCCACATGCAACCCTCCTGGGGGGCGGCTAGATACCGATTCAATCCGAGCCTCTCGGCTTGACGGTCGAACTCTCTGCCTCTGAGCAGAGAGGAACCCGGACGAGGCTCCGCCGAAGGGCAGAGTCTCGTTCGGGGAGGTTGACCAACCCGATCCCGTTTATACGGGTTCTACGGCCATTTATCTTTCATATTGATAAGTCTACACCTCCCGCCAAAATATATTAACAAAACTCTGTGACGGTCTCTGTATAGTGGATTTTTATGGAAGCATAAAGATGATTCTGATTACTGATGTAGAAATCGTCATCATTAACTGATGAATAGAATGTTACCAGCTTATTTTGATATTCAACAATTCTTGAATATTAGAAATTATTTCTGATTTGGGGCTGGTTGGGTACCTTCTATTTCGCTCCGCTAGGCTAGACAGCGCGTCTCTCTCGTTGATAACACTGCGCATGACGTAAATCGGTATTAGTGAAAACTGACCTAATTACTTAGCTCTCAAGATTTTGATATCTTCTTTCTGAATTTAGTAATGGTTATATACACTATTTACAGTTGGACATGCTTTCGTACGATCACCGAAGTTAAGCAACGTCGAGGCCGATCAGTACTTAGACGGGTAAGCGCTTTGAATGTGCGTGTGATGTTCATAATGGTACTGGTAATGGATAATGGCTCGGAATTGTTAAACGGAGAGCCGAGTTCAGATTCCCGTTTGGTTACTGATATACACTTACGTGCAAATACCCTTGAGAAAAGGTATGAATCCGTTTCTTCTGTCCCCAGCTATGGATTAATTATTAAAAACCATTATTATCTCCAAACCATAGATAAAATATTTTAACACATTTTAAGAAACTTGATATTTCAATAAAAGATTTAATTATTAAAACTAGTTTTCACAGAGAAACGCCATATCAAAAGGAAACACTGGTTCTTGTATGACCACTGAAGTTAAGCAACCGCGAGATTTGTCAGCACTTAGATGGGTAACCACTTGGGAATACCAGGTGCTGTAAACTTGAATGTGCGGTTGGTGTAATGGTCAACAACTCGGAATTGGAAATCTGAGAGCCGAGTTCAAATTCCAGTCAGATTGGTTGCATTCGCTTACATGCAAATGCCTTTTGGAAAGGTATTAATCCACCACTTCCCCCCCAGATCTGGGTTAATTAGAAGAACTTGTATCAGTAAATCGGTATTATCTTCCAAAAAATTCTTACAATCTGAAAATATTTTCTGGTTTTAAATAACTTTTAAACGGTTAAGCCGTAAAAAAACGAATGAATCAATCAATCATGTCCTTGTATTAGTTGTCCGTCCTGGGTATGCCGATAAACCACATCCGCGTCCTGGGTAAGACGATAAACTACATCCAGCAGCAAGGCCACTGATCAGGAGGTTTTAAGGAGCGTGGAACAACCTCTTAATTGCTGGTGTTCCCAGATCCACCCTGACCCGGGGTGGTAGCACCTGTTAGGGTCCCAGCTATGGGTAAGTAGTTAACCCACAAACCGAGGTCAAAACACTATGAAAATGTAAAAATTATTACCAGCAATAAATCTTTGAAGAAAAATTATCACCAGCAATGTATTATTAACAGCAATACAATTTTGAAAATAAATATTACCAGCAATAAAGATTTTGTCGGCATTAAATAACCCGTTGAGGTGTTGATATGCCGTGAAACAAAACAAAACAAACCAAACTTCGTATTAGTTGTTGCTATCACAACATTTCGACCATTACGTCTTTCGGTTTTCTTCAGGTGTCTGTCGGTCCGGACAACCTTAGGTGAATTGCTAAATAATTTTTTATTATTTAATCTACAAGGTGGGAGATGTCACCCTGCTGTCTTTGTCAAGGGATATCTAGTCTTGTTCTTATTTTATACTAAATAAGTACAAAATGAGATATCCCATAACGACTGGAACTTCATGATAATAGTAATAAAAAGGACATTATTCCAAATGCAAATAAGTTTGTTACATTTTTTAGATTTTCAAAATGATTATATAGGAATGAAGTATCACTGCCGACACTTGAGTTTGAACATATGTCGACGATGAGCAAACAAGGGCGATCCCATTATATAAACCACGTGACCATAGAGGAAACTCATATATAGAAGGTAGTGTGACGTTTAAATGGTCCTCATTTCTAGTCTATCCTCTATTACTATTTGGACCGCTATTCTCTACTCTATTCACTACACTATTTCTCTATTCAGATCACTATACGGTGATTACTATTCGAGCGAGTATTATCGAACAAGCACTATTAGTGCGAGTGATATTCGAAGGCGTCTGACACCAGTATTGTTCAACGGCGTTACTATAGTTGTATCTGCGATTACAAAGTCTCTACTACAACGAGCATTACGAAAGTGACAACAAGTATTCGTTGACATCACAAAAAATGTACTATGAACATTGTTTACCATCACCCACTTCTACATTGCCTACTTCAAATTACTCTTACGCTTTGATCTAAATGCCAAGGTCGTTACCAGATTAGATTGGGAATGAACAATAAAACACGGTTATTTTTAATGAAATTATTTTTCAGATGAAGATATACATTCTTATTCTTCTATATGCCATGTTCTTATTCTTCTATATCCCATGTCCTTTCGGCCATGACCGATAATGACCCTCCACGACTTTCTATCATTATCTGAGCTTTGTTTAGAACAACGCCTAAGGTTCGGATCACCCACTAAGGATCAAACTCACTACTTAGCAATGTTCGAGATTTTTTTATATCCCCACATCTCCGTGTTCTGTAATTTGTTTACACCAGTTTGTTATGTTGGTTACTTTCTGTTTCTCCCTGTGAGTGTTGTATTTTTCAAACCTCATTTCCTCAGTATGTGTCCGCCAAATTTCGACTGTCTTTTCTCTGGTCCTAATTTTTAATTGACGTTTTTGTTTCCATTCTCCTTAAAACTTCATCATTGCTTACATTCCCCGTCCATGGTATTCTCAGCATCCTTCTGTAGAATCACATTTCTGTTGCTTCGTCTTCAAACAAACCTACTCACGGACCGATGATTTCATCGTGTCATCCGGAAAATGACATGACGGACCCACCCCTCTCCAGCTTCAATTACAACCAATGTCCTGCAACTTGAAATCACACTGAAGCTTCTGCCAATACAATCCAGTGAACACTCCTCTATGGCCGCTGACTTTATTGTATCATGGGGAAATATACCTGATGCAGCCATCCATCACTAAATTAAACAACAATGCCATACAATATGGAAGCTCCCTGAAGCGGCCGTTAATTCCGTCCAGTGAAACAACTTTCATGGTCGCTGACTTCCGAGCATCATGGGTAAGTAGACCTGAAAGGAGATTCCTAATCCCTGGCCGCTGACTTCGTCGTGTCATGGGAAAATAGACATGACGGTTTTTGGAGATTTTGTCACGAATCTCTAGATATAAGACAAAATCACCAAACCAGACGTATTCAATCAGACAACAAGCACAGATTTGTATTTTTTATATAATGAATAAACGATAAATATGTAAGAAAAAAAACCCGAAAAGGTCAAATATCAACTTTTAGAAAAAGGATTTCTAAAGAACACCTACTTATAATATTATAACTGTAGCTTATATGTGGCAAAAAATCGAAAACATGCAGCACCCTGTGAGGATCGACGTCCCTACTCAGGCGTAATTGATCTATCGAGACAGGTTCGCTATCCATTACACTACGTCGAAGTGTCCATATGATTATCTGAGTGTAGTTTAAGTATAGCACAAAGCCTAAAGTTCGGATCACCCAGTAAGGATCAAACTCACTACTCAGTTGTAATTGATCTTGAGACACGCTCAAATGATTATCTGAGCTTTGTTTAGAACAACGCCTAAGGTTCGGATCACCCAGAGGATCAAAACAGTTGTAATTGATCTTGAGACACGCTCAAATGATTATCTGAGCTTGGTTAAGGGATCACCCAGTAAGGATCAAACTCACTACTCAGTTGTAATTGATCTTGAAACACGCTCAAATGATTATCTGAGCTTTGTTTAGAACAACGCCTAAGGTTCGGATCACCCAGTAAGGATCAAACTCACTACTCAGTTGTAATTGATCTTGAGACACGCTCAAATGATTATCTGAGCTTTGTTTAGAACAACGCCTAAGGTTCGGATCACCCAGTAAGGATCAAACTCACTACTCAGTTGTAATTGATCTTGAAACACGCTCAAATGATTATCTGAGCTTTGTTTAGAACAACGCCTAAGGTTCGGATCACCCAGTAAGGGAGTTCAATTGATCTTGAAACACGCTCTGATTATCTGAGCTTTGTTTAGAACAAACGCCTAAGTTCGGATCACCCAGTAAGGATCAAACTCACTACTCAGTTGTAATTGATCTTGAGACACGCTCAAATGATTATCTGAGCTTTGTTTAGAACAACGCCTAAGGTTCGGATCACCCAGTAAGGATCAAACTCACTACTCGGCTTGCTACAAGCTTGCTAAGCATTACACCATGTCGAATTGCTCACGAAAGAGATAAACAGGAATGTCATTATAGACAGACGTTTACGATACCGATTTTAATGCGTATATGTGTGTGCTAGGGAAAATGGTTTCGGTTCTAGTGGTTGACGGTGTATGAAAGAATAAATATAGGATTAGCAACATTCAGATTCCAGATCGAGAAGAATTTACCGCCGAGTTCCCCTAAAATCAAGTAAATTTAAGGGTCGTAAAAGAAATCTTGCCTTCGTGTACACAGAGACCACCAAGACTTTCCTGGTTAACGGCCGAGAAACCTACGATAAATCGAGAAGAAAAAATTAAAGATGAAAAAAAATATCCGTATTTGTTTACTATTCCTGGAAGAACACGACCACGGGAATAACTAAAGTGACTTTGAAATGAGCAAAGGATCCCTGTGTAAATTAACTCTTACGTGCCAAAAGTATTATTCGCCGTGAAATTTATACGTGTAAATCAATGGGAGATGATTTGAATGCGGGAATTACATTTTATGTCGTCGTCCATTTTAAATGCGCGAGAAAGAATACCGCTATTTATAATGTCAAAATATATCGTTAGAATATTTCAGCCTCGTTTTAAAATTTTAAAATGGCTTATTTACTAGACGAATACCCATCAAAAGACGAACAAAACAGTTGTAATATATTTTATCTCCGGTTTCATTATAAATAAAATATAATTCAACAAACATATCAATTTCATTTATTGCCATAATTATTCTGCTGCGAAAAATTAATTTATTTAAATCTTTTTTTTTTTTCGTTAAATACAATTAAAATTAAATTAAATCCTGTATATTGAAATATTTATGGAATATTTTTAATTTAGAATTATTATTGATTTGCTGTAGTAATAGTAGTATTGTTAGTAGTTGTAATAATAATAATAATTGTTGTTGTTGTTGTTGTTGTTGATCTAAGAGCTAAGCAAGTACACAGACGTGGAGAGAGAAATGGAAAAGATCACTCAAAAGCTAAAACTGACCAACTCGATGATTCCATCCCCAAAGAACAGTATGAATTGATCTTTGTAGACGATTCTCTGATTGGAAGGTGCGTCAGGGTCTAAAACTTATCGGGGGCTTTTAACACAATGCAGCGAAAGTGCGCTACCGCTTAGAATGGATCGAAAAGTTTAAAAGTGGCTGGACAAGCGTGACGCACGAAGAAGTAGCTGGGCGCTCGTCAACCCACGCCTCCGACTCAGCAAAATCGAGAGCTGACAATAGCGAAACGGCGAGTTAAAATCGATGAGGTAGCATGTTCTCTGCAGATTCGGATCACTGCTCTTTGGTCCGCACACTGCAAGTGGAGCGGCTATGTTTACACTGTAACAGCAGCAAAAAGAAAACTGTCGCGATCGAGCTCAAACATCGATCCCGTGACCACAATAGTACCATCTATAAGCACGCATGAAGCAGAAGTCAGTGTGTCAAACCCGAAGATAGGTTATGGCGAAAGTGCTGATAATTTTTGACTTACCGTCGTGTATATGTAAAGAGAGAGGGAAAGACAGACTGACAGACAGGGAGGAAAAGAGAGATTGTGCGTAGCGTAGATGTTATCGGCGTTCAAATTCTATTCTGTGTTCACTTTCACACAACTGAAAAGTGTAAATCAATTAAACTTCTCCCCCAACTCCAGCTATAGCTTACTAGCAGGACTGATCTCTCTAGCCTTGACTGAAAACCATTCTAGGAGAACGAATTTGAAACCGGTTGGTCATAGGGCTAGCAAGCGCTCCCTGTAAAAACCTCCTTGCTCCAGAAACCACAGTAGCAACGCTTAGTGTAGGGAAGCTGTGACTCGCTACTCCACAGGCGAAACTTAGACAAAAAAACACTCCTGACAATGCTACTTAACTTTGGCCAGAAGATGTCTTGCAAGGTTGATGTGGTTTGGCAGTTAGTTACCCAAAGCAAATGCTTCCTTGGTGTATCTTTATGTCGGGGAAGTTTGAAAATAATATTAGCCCAAGCAAGCACCAGAGCACTATTCTTCCCGCCACACACACACACACATACACACACATACATACACACCAGGCAATGCTTCTCCTTCAGATTGGGGGGGGGACTGGGGTCTTTACCCACCGCCTGAGATGTTCCTAACAGCAGAAATGACGAGTGGGCTTTAACAATTTTTATGCGCCTTTCCCGAATTTATGTGCGACTTTTCGCGCCTAAATACTTGCTTACGCAAAACCAGTTACAATGCATTCATCTCTCTCTCTCTCTCTCTCTCTCTCTCTCGCTCTCTCTTTTCCCTCTCTCTCTCTCTCTCTTTCTCTTTCTCGTTCCCTCTCTCCCCCCTCTCTCTCCCCTCTCTCCCTCCCCCCCTCTCTCTCTCTTCTCTCTCTTTCCCTCTCTCTCTCTTTCCCTCTCTCTCTTTTCTCTTTTCTCTCTCTTTCCCTCTCTCTCTCTCTTTCTCTCCCCTCCCCTCTCTCTCCCCCTCCCCTCTCTCTCCCTTTTCTCTCTCTCTTCTCTCTCTTTCCCCTCTCTCTTTTCCCCCTCTCTCTCCCTTCTCTCTCTTTCCCTCTCCATCTCTCTCTCTATTTCTCTCTCTCCTTCCCTCTCTCTCTACCTCCCTCCCTCTCTCTCCCCCTCTCTCCCCCTCCCTCACTCCTTCTTTCCCACTCTCTCTTTTTCCCTCTCTTTCTTTTCTCTCTTTTTCCCTCTCCCTCTCTCTCTCTTTCTCTCTCTCCTTCCCTCTCTCTCTCATCCTCCCTTTCACTCTCTCTGTATGAGTGTGTGTTTGTATGCTTTTGAATAACAGGTCAACTCAGGGCGTACGCATTTCCCTGGCACAGTCATAAAACGCACTTTAACTGAAAATAAGTCCTCTTCGTATATATATATATATATATATATATATATATATATATAAAAGAATTAAATCGTTCTTTTCTAGTTGGAAACTAAATTCACAATGTTGGTTTTCTTTCTTAGGGTGACGCGAACAAATTGTACAACCAGATTTTCTTGTCGGACAACTTTGGATTGTAACAAAATTATTTCTTTGGTGACTTTTACTTTACTTGTTCATATTCAGCATTTATTCAAGAAGGTGTCGTCCATTTTTTTATATTTTTTATTCATATCTGCATCTAGAATATCTTATTGAAAACTATTGAAACAACTATTCCTATTTTTTTCTGCTTCAATTGCTTTAGATGTCGAGTGAATTCAACTGAATTCCATACCCTGTTCCTTTTGAAAAAAACATGGTGTCTAGAATAACATGAGATTTTACAAACTCGCCTAATATTTCAATAGAATAGTTAACTCGAAACTAACCAACTATTCTACTACAACGGACTTGTGCCAGGTTATATAACCATCAGCCTTTGTAAAATTTCATGTAGATTCACTGACGTTTAAAACTCACTGCGAAGTCCAATCTAAGCTTGGGAAAATATCAACGAGATGTCCTATGGTGGTGTTTTATTTAGAAAAAATCCCGTGTAGAATGTTCTATACTCATTAATTTTCCTTTTTACCGCTACCTTCTCTCAAAAAGAAGACTGATGAAGTAATTTTTTGAAGCGTTTATCCTAGACCCAAGATTTTCGGGGATTTTTTTTTAAACCGGGGGCGGCGGCAAACCCAAGTGGCGCGAGATTCGGCTCTTGGGAGTACAAAGAAGAAGTCAAGAGATTTACTTAAAAGCGAAACAAACGTGGCAGAACAAAAAAAAACGCAAGTCGGGAAATGAAATCAAAGATCAGATGACGCTGAACACCCACACAGGCGCGCAAATTCAAAAAGATTGCCAATTTGAAAGCAAACTTGGATCAAAACTTCCATTAAAACTTAATTTTAAAAAAAATAAGCAGCCGTTTAGCTGTGTCGATGCTTGCCTCCTGTTTACTCCGACATCTGTGCAAAGGGGGAGAAATTCAATTAATTCAACAGATTTACAGTCACACCACGTTGTAACACCTGTTTCTGAAGTTAAGCAACGTCGAACACGGTCAGTACTTAGTTGAATGACTGCTTGAGAGTACCAAGTGCCGCAAACATGGAAGGTGTAATGGAATTTTGAATCCAGAAGCTGAGTTCCAATTCCCATTGGGTTCGTTTTATTCATTTACGCGCAAATACAAATGGGAAAGGTATACTTACTTTTGGACGCTCCAAATTTGAAAATAAATAAATAATTGTTATAATTCTTTTTCTATCCTTTGCAAATGATTCAAATTTTAGTATGTAATTATGGATAATAAAGACTACCAGTTGTCAAAATTTCAGCTTTTCACAGTTGTTATTTCTAACAAATATTAGTATTTAAAATTTTGTCCCTTAGTTTTGGACACTACTGTATATATATATATATATATATATATATATATATATATACATATATATATAAAAGTGAACATACAAGTCAACACTAAGAAGCGACAGTCTGTTTCATACTAGATGCAATCGTCAGGCCTATATATATATATATATATATATATATATATTTACATATATATATGTATATATATATATATATATATATATATATATATATATATATATATATATATATATATATATAAAGATTTTTTTTATGTTTAACGTTGTTATTTATAGATACAAGTATTTAAGCAAATGCTCTGTTTATTATAAACAGTATTGAATAACATTTACCGGCCTGTATCATAAACAGAGCATTTGCTTAAATACTTGTATCTATAAATAACAACGTTAAACATAAAAAAATGTCTTTAATAAATAAATTGTCGGACCTTGTCCATTTCTTAATATATATATATATATATATATATAAGTGAACATAGAAGTCAACACTTAGAGGCGATAATCTGTTTCATGCTAGATGCAATTGTCACTCCTGACGATTGCGTCTAGCATGAAACATCCTGTCGCCTCTGAATGTTAACTTCTATGTTCACTTTTATATTTACACACGCTCTATCTGTGATATTGAGCAATTTATCCCATAAATATAGCACCCTTAAGACTATACTTCTTCATATATATATATATATATATATATATATATATATATATATATATATATATATATATAATTATTTATTTAAAAATATGATTCCAACTCGCGACATAAGAGGTCTCATGTTTCAAAACAAGATGAAAACTTCAATATAATTATTAGAATTAAATTGAATTAAAGTACTAAGCTCTGTTCCATCTTCAAGCGAAATTTTTTGGGAATCCAAAAAAAAATTCGCTTGAAGATGGAACAGAGCTTACTTTAACTGAATTTAATTCAAATAATTATATTGAAGTTTTCGGCTCTTGTTTTGAAATATGAGACCTCTTATGTCGCGAGTTGGAATCATATTTTTAAATAAATAATTATATTTATGCTCTACTTTTGTATCGAGAACTATTTTTTTAAAATAATAACTAAAATACTAAGGAACTTTGGCTTATTTACCTAACCAGTTCTTTCCTATTTTCTATATATTTTCACATATATATATATATATATAATTTTCATTTAAGTTGCTTTCTAGATTTTGTCATGTTTGGTTAAATCCTATTGTTTGATTCTATTCATTCTAATGTCAGTGTTTATTTGAAGGATTGGTCACTTGCGTCATTGGTGGACTTTTTTAGCTTCTCAGGAAAATTGCTATTTTGTCTGCATCCTCATGCAGCAGAAATATTAAAATCTGGCCGATGTGCTTATCTCTAGCCCAGGATGTTGATTGTTTGATACAAGTACATTGGTCACACTCAACTATTTGTGTTTGTTGCAGCTTGTTCTTGTCGCGGACGATTAGCTTAAAGTAGAAATGCATTCTGTTGTGACTTTAAATAGTTGAAAGGATGCACTCAAATATTGTTTTAACATTGCAAAGGTTGGTTGATTATTTTAAATATCTTCTTAATGATTTTAGACAGCAATGTTAATGATCACTATCAATTTGGGTTCACTTAAAAAACGTAGACGATCATAGCTCTCCACATATACTTTTCTGTTATCATTTGGGAATTGTCATGAAGTCTTGGGAAATATAGTGGAGTGATTTTCAGTTATTGTCTCCACGGTTCCGATATAAAAGCTTTAGATTGACTGCTACCCAAAGCTAAAAAAAGACTGTCCAGTCAAACCTGATTGTTTAACAAATACTTTGGAGAATAAAAGATGGAGCTATGTATTTCCCATGTGAATGCAACTGTCTACACCGGAATTTAAACTTGATTAACCGATTCTAAAAGGTGGAGCAAAATGATCTGACATATTTTTAGGTTTAATAAAATAGAGTAAAGAACGAAATATGAGTTCTGGTTTTTATAAATGTACAGCTAAACAAACAAATGAATCTATTCTAAAAGTCTTGTCGGTATTAAATAACCCATTGGAGTGTTGATATGCCGTAAAACCAAATTGTTGTAGAGTAGTTTTCACAGTGGAGGCTTGTATTTCAATAAGTCGTCCTAAATTAGGTTCGACGTACAAAACGTTAGGAACTTGGAAATAAGAGTTAATGACACAGCAATCTAGTTGTGATGGTTGATACTTCAATGTCCGATATCGACTGACTCGCTCAACACCACTGAGCCCAACTGGCTACTGCTACTACTACTACTAGTAATTATTATGTGTGGGAGAGTCTATTAATAATAGAATAGGCACGTCAGGTATGACACAAATAAACCAAAACACATGCTCAACTCACTAACCTGTTTCCTCACTCGATTTGTAGACGCCACAAAAGTCACCTTCACCACTCCAAAATAGAGTCTCGGTACTTGACCATTAAAATCGTTCGACATTTTTCTTTTTCTATGTACCGTGTTACTCGAGGACATGGTTCTCCACAACTTCCTGTTCCTGGTAACTCTTAGCAATTTTTCATTTTTGCTAACTCTGCTAATCGCTACTCTCTCAACCATCTGTTTCTCCTACCTTCAGCAGGCCCTGTAAATGTTAAATTTTCCAAGCCCCCCCCCCCTCTTCATTATATGTCTTAGAAATTCCTATTGGCTTTTTCTGATTCTAAATATGTTTCATTTTCGTTTCCATTTTCTCTAAAACGTCGTCCTTACTCACATGTTCAGCTCATGGTATCCTCAGTATCCTTCTGTAGGACCACATTTCTGTTGTTTCAAATCTCTTCTTCATCTGTGAGAAGAGTGTCTAGATTGACTGATATATACGATGACTGAAGTTATGTAACAGTTCAGTGGACATTTTTTGTTCTAACAAAGATTTTCTTTCGTTAATACTTTGCTTAACTTTTGGAAGGCATCTTCCGTTAATTCAGTCAAACTTTATTCGTATAAATAACAATAATAATAATAAATCAACGTTAGCAACAATATTTCTTCTAATAATAAACATAAAATTATATATACCAAAAAATGATTCGGAAATACGTGTGGCACCATGCATCCAGGCAGAGAAAGAAAGGCAAAAAAGGGAAAAGGAAAGAAAAGAAGAAAGGAAGAGAAAAAGTAATGCGAGACGGATCATAGGTGATAAGCGAACACACACACACACGGCTTAAGAGACAATAAAAAAAAGGGTTATTTTGGATAAGTAGCAAATGGCGAAAAGAGTGTCATTACAATGACAATGAGATTGAGTGGGTAGGGAAGTGTTATCTAAGGATATGAAAACAAACTATTGGTACGGGAAGGCATCTTATTATCAAAACACAGGCCACCGGCCAAGGGAAAAATTCAAGCGAAAATGTTATTTCGATAAGTGACGACAAGAAACAGGCGACTAAAAAAGACTTTTGGACAGATATGAAAATTAAAG